TGGTGATAAAGTCTTAAAGTCACACCTTCATTTTACAACTTCAAATTTGAAAAAAATTCTTGGATATTTTAATAGTGCCATTTAAGCTCAAAAGCTAATTATCATGAATAAGATAGGGTTGTCTAATAGAGAATGGCATAGATTTAATGGGCATCTCAAATCATTCATAACAGAATGAATGGTAGCTATAGAGCATAAGGGTCTTGAAACTATACGAATAAATGATTATGTTAGGTATATGATTATAAGCAATCAGGATGCTCCACTCAAAATAGATATAGGTGATTTTCGTATAGTCTGTTTTAATGTCTCAGCATACTATAAAGGTAATATAACATATTTTGATTAGCTAGGAAAAATACTAGACTATTCTGATGTATCAGGAGTAGTAATGTCATATCTTCTTAGCCATAACTTAACAAATTGGAGTCTAGGAAAAATTCCTGCAACTAAAATGAAGATAGAAACGATGCGAGAGTAACTTTCTAATCCTATTCGATTTATAATTAATTATATTTCATCTTAGCCTGAAAATCATATTAGTACGTTTAGTTATAAAAAGTATACTAGGATTATCTAGAATGGTATGGATGTAATGGGAAAAAGCCATTAACTAGTAAGGTCGCTGGAAAAAAATTTTATTAATTGGCATTGATCGGGTATATTTATGAGATAATAGAGTAAGAGTATATCAGTATATTCTTGATCATTTCAAGATCGTAGCCAAGCTTCATGAATCTGGCCTAAGAGATATAGAAGAATTTTCTGATATATCTCAGCCAGAAACATTAAAGATAAATAAGTTACTGACTAATGAAGTACAGACATATCTATATTCAATGTGTCAGAAACTATTCCTCAGAAAATAATCCCACCTCAATCAGAAGAGAATCTCCCTTCAAGAGATAAAAAAATGGATAAATAGGACGAATTGATCTAAGCTCTTTTTGACTATGTGGCAGAAAATATGAAAGTTCCAATCACTTCAACCTTTAGGGCATCCAAAACTACTAAGACTTCTGAATAATCTAAGCCAGTAATTGATAAGCCTAAATCCAGTAAGCCTTCTGAACTTACTAATGAAATATCATTCACTATTCTCTTGTCTAGATCTTAACGCGAAGAGCATCTTAGAAAAAAGGCAGTCAAACTTAGTGAGAATCCAGATGTCTTTGTGACTATTATAAAAAAAGACAGGCTCAATTCTATTGCATTCTGAGATAGAATGAAAACTAATTCTCAGATATGTGGTTATGCAAAAGAGGTAAAAGAAGATCTCAAAGAATATATAGACATAACAGTACGAGAAAGATTAATAGAAGAAGAAATAATCTGTCATTCTTTTGAGGATAAGAGAGCCACATTCTCCTGGCTTGATACCGATGAGAAATGGAAAAAAACAATAAGCATACTCCAGGAGAATGATATACTTTGGTAAAGAGCGAATAAAGTAGGATAATAGTATTAGTAAGGATAGGACTTTTCATTCTTTATAACTAAGCGATATATAATTCCAAATTATTATTATTTTTTTTTACTTATCCTATCAACTTGCAATTTTCAAATATATGCAAAATATATCCTGATTAGAGTAGGTGATCTCAAAGAGATCTTCCATAAGTTATATATTTTTTTCCCTTTCTCTAACTCTTTGATAGTTTTCACTGACTATGATGTAATGAATTGTTAGAATAATTATTTTTAAATTGAACTTTTTTCTGCAGTATAATACCAAATGATCTATATAATACCAAATAATCTACATACTACCAAATAACAACATGGCTGGCATTGCTACTAATTATGTAATAGAAAATAGACTCAATAATTAGATGAGTATCAAAGAGCTCACTGAATATACGCTAGAATTTAACATCCTATTGATGGATAAAGTTAAGAGAGATTAAGCACGATGACGTCTTCAGAAAGGATACAACTTTAGCAAAGAAAAGGTATTTATATTAATTTCTAAGCTGACAGTTGATTAAAAAAAGGTAAAACCATATTCCATAATACTTCAGATACTCCCAATATTCTTTAAGAAGAAGAACTAGTAGAGAATGGCATAGTAAATGTGTACTAAATTTCGTAAAAAGAAACTATTAGAGATTTAGCCTAGTGTATTATCTGAGATACTATTAGCGAAAAAGACATAAAAGCTATAGTAAAAGTTTAGCTGAATCTGCCTCTAATGCTAGTACCAGTTTATCACAGATCTCTAGGCTTCAAAGAGAGTTGCAAAACCTCAAAGCCTTAGAAAAAATTATCTCAGCTATATTGATTCCAGACATAACCCACTCAGCTAATAAAATTTAAAAGAAAAAAGGTTTGCTATGCGAAAACGAAGGTATTGATTATCCTGATTACTTTGCATTAAAATCAGTTAAAGAAAGATTGGATGTGTATGATGTATCTAAAATTCTTGACTTACAAGCCCTTGCCGATATAATGATAATGCTCTACATTTGTTCTGCTGAAATAAAAATCCTACGTATATCTAATGGAGGTGTAACTAGATATATAAAAAATCAGGAACAATAAGATATTCCTTGAATATTTAGATTACTAGAAAAGAACGAGAAGTGGGTTTGTCAATTGCTTACGTGGATTCAGGAAGCAATTTCTTTCAGACAGTTATGAGATCCTGAAAAGTTCAGAATGTTATGGTTTAATACATTTCTGAAAAAAAATGAGTTCCTTCCTGAAACTGGCAAACTACTACTTCCTAGTTCTTTACGTAAATTAGGGGTGGTATTTGCAGTTGTGGCTCATAGAGTGAAGAATTTATCAAAGGCTATGAGTATTACAAGTGAAGTACTTAGATATGCTTCTAGAAATCATACCTCACTCGCAAAAAACTATACAATAGTAAATTATTAAAAAATATAACAACCTTATGATCAGGCAGAGGCAATCAAGATCTTTGATAAAAACTAATCACATATATGAGTTAGAAGGGATCCTAGAGGGATCAGATCAGGATATCATTTATTAATTTTATTTTTTCATTCGTTTAAAGATATGTCATATATAAAATATCGCAAAAAATAGTAATCGATCAAAAGTATTCATCTGATAGTACACCTATTGAGCAAGAAATTATCAGATATATAGAGAAATTAGCTCAGTCGTTAGAACTAAATGAGCAAAATGCAGAAATGTATAATGCGCTTTCTGATGAAAATAAGACACTAAAGAAATAATTAGAAGATTATCATTCCTAACATAAAACTTTAGAAATAAGGATATAAAGATTGAAAGAGATATTAGGTCCTTAAAAATCGAATTAGAAGATTTGAACGAATGTATAGATAGAGAAACTGTGATTGACTTAATACAAGAAATAGTTTCCTTACTGATTGGTAAAAAAGGTAAAGCTTTGTGTTATTTTTTCTATTCATCTGAGTCCTTTAAAGATTCTGATTCAGGTGAGATAATTGAGAGATTTCATAGGTATCAGGTAAGAGAAAAAAAGGATGTTCCTTATAAGTAATGAAGGAAAGCGCAACCAAGAAAGGTTAAGCTGTTCAAAGAATTTAGGCACTTTACATAATCACTTGATGAAGAAAATATCCCTATTGAGGCAATAATAGATACAGAAACACAAAAATGTATCCAGTGAATTCATAGTTCTTAGACTGGATTAGCCTGATTATTATTCTGACTTAGTATTAAAAATACTATGGTTTAAGAAAATGAGGCAATTTTAGATATATATAATTCAAAACTATTATTAGACGATAATTTTGCAATCTAATTCAAAGAGAATAACAATCCAGAGTAGTGATTGCATAATTTCCCTAAAGGTGCTTTGCTATTTTTTCATTTAAAGATACAGTATATATTATTTATGACGCAATCAAACATCTTTTATTTACCAGAACTATTAGAACAGATTTTATATTTTTTAGTGATAGATAAATCTCTCTATCCCGCTCTATTTGTTTATTGGTCATAGTACAAATGTGCTATTCCTAGCCTATAGAAATACATCAAACTAAAGGAAATGATCTGAAATATGGTCATTATTTTTCAGATAATTATATCTATCAAGAAAGAGACTATACTAAATGGAAAAGATTTATAAAAATAATGAATGAAAAACATAAGCCAGCTTATGTCTTGAATACAACTCATCTAGAAATTACTTATTACCATTCACTTTTAGATAAAAAAATAAAAAGTATTATGAAAACATTTCTGAATATAATTCATTTAGATTTCAAAAATAGTATAGGTTTTGATAATAGATCACTATTTATAATAGTAGGATTATATCCTAATTTAAGATATCTCAATTTGTAGGATGCTCAAGAAATAACTGATAAAGGCTTATGTATAATTGTACAATCATGCCATAAATTAGAACATCTAAATATTTCTTATTATAAAAATATTACTAATAAATCTTTGTTTGAAATCACAGAAAATTGCATGATATATAAATGTTTCATTTTACTAAAGCACATCAGATCACAGATAAATCTATAAGTTGCATCTTAAACTCATGTCTAAATTTATGAAATCTTAATATTGCATATAGTAAGAGAGATGGTAAAGATGCTAGTACTTTGATGTGAAGACGTTTCAAAATAGAGTATCTTGACTTTAGTGAGACTATGGCTTTATGGAATGATAAATTGATTATAACCATCATCAAAGGATCTTTGAATTTAAGATACTTAGAGATCAATAATAATGATATTGTAGATAGGATTACTGAAGTATTGGTCCATTCTTATCATAAATTAGAATATTTTGATTTAAGTTGCTGTGAGTTTGTTAGCGAACTATTGATTTGTAATATTATTCATTTCTGCTCGAAACTTCAGCATCTCAGCCTTAAATATTATAATATTATCAGTACAACTATCAAAGAAATTGCTCGCTCATGTTTTAATTTAAAATTTCTAGATTTGGAAGGATGTAAAAATATTAGCAAAAAAAGCTATGAATCAGCTAAATCCAAATATTCATATCGAAAATTTTGATGAAGATTATTACTGTTCTGATTCAGAATCTTCTAGCTCTGGCTCTGAAACTGAATCAGAGTGCTAATCTTTAACTCGAAAGATATCATATTTTTTTTGATTATCTCTGGTAGATTTATCATTAGACATATATAGGGAAACTTTTTGTAATATTCTTTTTAGAGATTACTAATTAATCAAGCAGAATTCTGGTACTCTACTGATCTAACTAATTTGAATCAATGATCAGCTTAAAAGATTTTTTTGTTAAGTTATACCCTATGCGACAAAAAAATATAGATTAACTAACTTAGACATAAGTCCTGATCGATGCTAGCTGAATTTTTTATACAATTGAAATAATGATAGTCTCTTCAAAAAAATAAAATATTTTTACTCCCCTCTGAACTGCGCCTTTAGCAGAAAATGGTCCAGGCGTGTTAATACTTAGGTAAGGAACTATTAGAAGTTTTGAAGATACGCTCTTACATTTTTATTGACTTCTTATAATCCACTTATTTTCTGATCAAAATGACCAACAATATCGAGAACATTCTGAATCATGCTTATATCCTCTTTCAAATATAAAAGCAAATGATATAATGTTCCAAGTGACCTTTTTCCATATGTTTTTCTCTCAAGATCATGCATATTATTATATAATATAGTAAGAATAGGGTGGCAAGTCACATCAAGATCTTCTTGATTATCTATTAATTTATCTACTAAATTAAATAATAGCCTAAATAAATCTTCAAGTATTTTTTTTTTTTACTTTGATTTAATGCTGTTTGATTTCTACTCTCAATAGGTCTTTTCCTCCAGTCTAAAAACATACTGAGTTTTTTCTGAATAGCTATTATATCTTTCTTCTTATACAAAAGCACTTTATATAATTGAGCTTCACTTTTATCAGAACTAATATTAGTATTGCTTGTCATAATTGTGTTTATCTCTGGTTAGCATACATTTAATTTAGAGTTCAGAATAGTGCTCATTAGCCTGGAATAGTGATCACCAATTCAGAAGAATTTGCTGAGCCATGTACAGCGTTTTCGGCTAATGCGTGTATTCATATATGATAAAAATAAGCTGATCACATAATAAATCTGTGTGACATATTAAATTTTGCATATAAAGAAAAGAAAATATATATGTTAACCAAATCCCTTTATTTTTTTCCCAAACAAATGTGAGAAAATATGAAAGAGCATCTAGTTGCAATACAGATTATACCCTATAAACAAATAATAATGGCAAAGTATATGTTATGAAAGGCTGAGGTGAGAGACTTACAATTTTGAGATCACCAGGTGTAAAACTAACTATGGTCTCTCTAGTAGATCTATATGTGAAAAGGTATGAGAATTCTGTTAGCATGTGCTTTTATAGAACTCATAGCACTAGACAATAATATTATTTACACCTTATACCTCCTTAATTTTTTTCTAGCAAGATATAAAGCATGTAGTGGTATGTGAATGTTCAGCTAACTTTCTTGCAAAAAATTAAGGTATGTATTAAATATAATTGCTATTTATAACAAAATGTTTCAAAATATCTTTATATATGTAAAGTTAAAAATTTATTCACTATGAGCCTTCATATTTAGGAAAAGCAAAATGCTAGAAATTAGACTTAACTATCTTGTTGTTCCTAGTAACTGTCCAGTTAAGAAATTATACGATATCATATTATTACAATCAGTATTGACAATAGGGAATCTATTTATTTGCTCAGAAAACAAATTAAAGAAGAACATTCATCTCAGTTTGATAATATTTCAATTACTAAATTCATGGTTTGTGCTATCTATTTAAATTCAGATAAAAAAGAAGCATCAATTAATACTGAATCAGTATACAAAATAAGACTAAGATAGGAAGTGAGTAATTTCCAATATCTAATATTCTTGAGCATTTCTCTGATCAGCCTTCCAAAAAGATATTCATATTATAGTATATTTAGATATTCAAGTATCTTAGTAAAAAAATGTAATGTGATATAATCATGCAAAGTACCTTAATGACCAATTTTTATGTATCAGTTGCTCTGACAACATTTTTTTATTTCATAATAAAATATTATTTTATGTGGTCCCTTTAGGATCCGTTCTTATCATAAATATTAAAAAATATCATGTGTAATAATATAATATAATCGCTTGATAATCTTATACTACATCTTAATTACATATATATTAGGCAAATGCATTATAAATTGATACAAAAAATTTATCATTTCTCTTTGAATGCTAAAACTAAAATACTTTTATATCTATAAACTAGCTTTACCTGTAATTGCATATTTTTTTCACAAGCATAAATACACATATATAAACTCCATGTCTTTACAAGCTTCTTTACCTGCCTCAATAATAAAAGAAATACCTTCGTGAACAATGTCAGACATTGTTAAGGATTTTAATACAGAGAAGCTTATTAATTATTTGAAAAGGAAAAACTTAAAATTTGATAAAGATGATATTAAAATTCTTCGTAAAGAGAAAATTTCTGGGCTTATCTTTCTTGAATTAACAGAAGAAAATTTTCATAGTATTGGGTTAGCATTAGGATCAGCAACAACACTTGCAAAATTTATCGAAGGCCTCAGTCAGAAATTATGAAACTATTCCTCATTTAAAACTCTTGACGATTTAAAGAAAATGTTATGTAGAAATAAATTAATAGAGAAGATATAACAAATATTAAGCAGTTTACTCCCAGTATGTAATTAATTTTTATAACTAACTGAATAGCTATATTAATTTATTTTTCTCTCTAGTCTTTGAGGAAATTACCATAGAGCGCTGACTAAACTACCCCCCTATACAAAATACTCTTCTAAGGTTTTGGGCTGAAATTTTGTAAAAGACCCAGGTGGTTTAAATAGGGGGTTTTTTTTAGTTGAAAAATAGTCATAAAATTAAATAAATCATGTGATTAATATACCGTTACGATATTTATTTATCAAATACACATTTTATCAATTTAAAAATAAAACTTTATTATTTATTCAAACATTAGCAAAATTAATATCATCCCAATTATTGTAATCCTTTTCTCTAAATTCTTCCTCTCTAAATTCGTTATCTCCAATTAACTCATTATTTTTCTTATTTTCTTTATCTACTATAAGACTATCATAGTTAAAAATCATATCATCTTCGGAATTATCAGTTTTAACTGAAATGGCATAACATTTGAACGATTTACGAATTAAATTTGTATCAATTTTTTCTCATGTATCTTTTACCCATGAACATACTAAAGAATATGAAGGTTTTTTAATACGTTCAGATAGAGTTAATTCATGAATTTCATTTGTCATCCAATCATTATAAAGTTCGCGAATCTATTAAATTAAAAATCCTTTTAATTTATAGAATAATAAATACAAAAATAATAAAAAATTAATTAATTATACT